GGGATGAACCCTTGGAGCTGCTCCAGGGAGCAGCCCCCGGCCCGGCCGTACCTTCTGCGTCTCCTGGACGGTGTTGAGGTCGATCTCGAGGACGTGGTTCTGCAGCCCGGCCACGAGCAGGGTGCTGCTGTCCGTCAGCAGGAGGCTGTGCATGTCCTCGGACTCATCCATGCTGCGGGAGAGGATGGGACGCCCTCACGCTCCTGCCTGGCTGCAGGAGGCAGCAGGGAAGGGGTGGTGGGGAGGCAGAGGGGCCAGGACCACCCCCAGCACGGGGAGGACTCACAGGTAGTCAAAAATGATGAGGCCTCCCCGCGACATGTACTTGAGGTTGGTTTTGGTGAGGAAGAGGACGCCGTTCTCCAGGCTCTGGATCTGGCGGATGTCGTCGCTGCTGTTCACTTGGAAGGACGAGTATCGCTCCAGCGTCGGCCCGAAGAAGGAGGTGGCGTGGCCCTAAACACAGAGGGGCAGGGACATCACAACCCACCCCACGTCCCAGGGATGTGACACAGGTGAAGGTGGCTTTGTCCCGCACCAGCTCCCAGGAGGAGGCAGCGACCGGCGGCCTCAGAGCTCGGCCGGACTACGGGGGGATCTCCTGGCCCCCCCCGGGTGCTCCAGACTGTGGGAGGCTGGTCAGACTTTTCCCTGGATGCAAACACCAGTAAGGAATCAAAAGATCCATTGGTCCCACAGCCGTGACTTGGGAAGCAGCAGGAGGCCCGTGCTCCGAGAATCGACATGGGCAGATAAAGGGGGAAGGGTTTTAAACCAAAGAAGAAGGTTTAGATGGGATTTTGGGATGAAATTCCTCCCTGTGAGGGTGGGGAGGGGCTGGAATGGATTTCCCAGAGAAGCTGTGGCTGCCCCATCCCTGGAAGTGTCCAAGGACAGGTTGAAGCAGCCTGGGCTAGTATGAGGTGCCCCTGGCCACGGCAGGGGGATGGAACTGGACGATCTTTATGCTCCCTCCCAACCCAAACCATCCCACAATTCCATCAAATTTCCTGCCCCCCCAGGTTTCCCTGCAGTGACCTCCCCACCTACCCCGTGGTTCCCAATCCACAGCATCTCCTCGTGCAGGTCGAAGTGGGACACGGAGACGGGCACCCCGACCTCGGACACGGCCGTGTGGAGCTCGCTGTACATGCCCTCCATCAGGTGCACTGACTCCGGCACCGGGATGCCCTCCAGGGACACCCCCTCGGGGTCCAGCTCCACCAGGCTGGGGTTGAGGTGGGGGTCCAGGACGGGGTCCAGCGCCGGGTGCAGGGGCGGTGCATACTCGGCCAGGGAGGGGTTGAGCCCTTCGAAATTCATGGTGAACCCCGGGGGCCTCTGGGACAGAAAAGGAACTGGAGGTGGTTGGTCAGGAACACCCAGAGCCGCCGGTTCTTGGAACCGGTGACTCTGGGGATGGGAATGGCAACCGGAATGTCCAGTGAGTGTGGGGTGCAGGGCTCTGCCAGGACACCGAGGACACCGGGGCTGTAAAGTCCCTCCCAGGACACGCTCAGAGCCCTGTCACGGCCGTGAGGAGCCTGTGGTGGCCCCTGGGCCAGGGGGAACCAGGCAGTGGCCCCAGGACACCGGCCTGAGGAACCGGGAAGGGGGCCCAGGATACCGGGCAGCCTCCCCGGGGTACCGGACAGCGGCCCCAGAGCACAAGGAACTGCCTGGGCAGTCGGGAAGCAGCGCTGGGGTACCGGCAGCTCCCGGGGCACGGGGCAATAGTCCCAGGCTGACCGGGAAGCCGAGCCCCGCCCGGTACCGGCAGCTCCCGGAGCTCGAGGCTCCGCCTCGCCCCACCCCCGGTGACTCCGGGCTAAGCTCCGCACCCTCCGCCCTTATCTCCGCGAGCCGACACCGAGCGCGCCGGCGGTATCGGCGGCAGCAGCCCTGGGCGGGGCACCAGGGTCCCGGCCCCACCGGACCCGGCCCTAGCGGCCGCTCTCTCCGAGCTCGGGGCGGCCGCCCCCCCCCCCCCCCCCCGCGCCCGCCGTTACCGAGCCGCCGCCGGGGCCGGGGCCGCGCTACCGGGCTCGTCCCGCCGGGGCCGGGCCGGGCCGGGGCCGCTCCCGCGTCGCTACGGCAACCGCGCCCCCCGCCCGCCAGCCGGCCAATGGCAGCGCGGGGCGCCGCGCACGGGCCAATCAGCGCCCGGGCAGGGCGGGACTAAGCGGCGCGGCGGGACGGGGCGGCGGAGGGGCCATAAAGGCTGGACGCGGCCGGGGCGGGGCGGGGGAGCCCCGGGGGGACCCCCCAGCTCCCGGATGCTTCGCGGACCCCCGGGCGCTGCCGGTCGGTGCGGCACCCGCGGGGGGCCGTGGGCTCCCACGGATGTCACGCAGCGTCCCCAGACACCCCACTGTACCCCACGGGGTCACACCTTGTTCTCTGACTCCCCGGACACCCCACGGTGCCTCATAGTGCCCCACGGGGTCCCACCGCGTGCCCTGACACCCCGCGGGATCTCAAGGTGTCCCCAAGTACCCCACAGTGTCCCTCGCACGGCCCTGGCATCCCACCGTGTCCACTGGTGTCACTGGAGCAGCCCGTGGCATCCCAAAGCATCCCACGGGGTCCCACGCTGCTCCCCAGCACCCCACGGGATCCTAAAAGTGTCCCTAAATTCTCCCCAGTGTCCCACGCTGTCCCCAGCATCCCACCACGTCCCACTGCTCCACGGAGTCCCACAGTGTCCCACGGGGTTCTACAACATCCCAGGGGTCCCACCGCGTCCCGTGGCACCTCACAGGATCCCAAAGCGTCCCTAAACGCCCCACAGTGTCCCACTCAGTCTCTTGGCATCCCACAGCATCCACTGGTGTCCCACGGAGTCCCGCAGGGTCCCCGGGACAGCGCACGGCGGTGCTGAGCCCCACCGGCGCCGATCTCCCCCGCGTCTCCCCTCCCAGACCCACGGCAGACCCGCCGCCGGTGTCCGTGCCCGGGGAAGGCCGGGGGCAGCCCCGCCGGGCGGGAGCGGGAAGCGCCGGAGCCGCCCCGTCGGGGCCGCCGGGATTGCGGCGCCGCGGGCAGCACGGCCCGGCCCGAAGGGCACCGGGGCTGCGGGGTCCCGGGGGCGCGACCGCGGGGCGAGCCCCCCGGGACCCCCGAGGCCGCGGGGAGCCGCCGGCTGATGTCCCGGGGGGACACGGGGAGGGACACCGGGAGGGACACCGAGGAGACCGCGGGGACACACGAGGAACACCGGAGGGGACACGGGGGGGACACAACGGGGGATCCACCGAGGTGACACCGCCGCGGGCTCCCCGGTGCGCCCGTCGGGGGCAGCCCAGGTGCACCCAGGGGAGGTCCCGGTGCCGGTGCGGGTCCCTCCCATGCCCGCTGGGCGCGGAGCCGCCAGGAACTGCCCCGGGTTTTCCTGCCCGTCCCGTCCCATCCCGTCCTGTCCCGGTGGGGAGCGGGGCCGGGCGCGGCCAGGGGACCCCGGCCCGGTATCGGTTCTGCTTTCGAGGGAGGCGATTTCGCAGTAACGGGGGGCGGGAGCCACCTGCCCCGGGGATTCCCCACCTGCCGCCGCCCCATAAGAACCCGGTGGCAGCGCCGGTGGCGGCATCGACCGGGAACGACCGGGAACGACTGGGAATGGCTCCGCTCCGCCGCCTCTGCCTCTGCCTCTGCCTCCCGCTGCTGCTGCCGCCGCCCGCGGCTCCGGCCCCGACCCCGGCCCCGGCCCCCCGCACCGACTGGGCCGCCTGTAAGAGCCTCTCCCGGGACCTGTCGCGGCTGCTGGCGACCGTCAAAGAACCGCACCCGGTGCTGGTGAGCGCGGGGGGCTCGGCCGGGGGGACCGGGGGGTTCCGGGGGACGGCGGGGACCGGGAAGTGCGGAGCACCCGGGTGGGAGGGGGGTCCCGAGGGTGCGGGGGGCCGGGGAGGGGCCCGGGGGACACGGAGAGCCCACTGACCCCCTGCTCCAGGAGGAGATGCAGCTGAGCCAGGAGGACCCCCAGAACTGGCCCCCCCGGATCCTCTGCAGCGACGCCTGTGACCCCCCCACGCTGGACACCAACAACACGGTACGGGGGGGGGCTGCGGGGGCTGGGGGGCTGCGGGGACGCTGAGGGGGGCCGGGGGGCCCAGGGAGGGCTCTGGGGCCCAGCAACGCTGAGGGATGTGCCTGGGGGTCCCCAGGGATGTCTGGGGTTCTCAGGGATGCACCTTGGGCTCCCAGGGGTGACCAAGGGTCTCGGGGATGCTGAGGGATATGCCTGGGGGTCCCAGGGATTCTGAAGGTGTCTGGGGGTCCCAGGGATGTCTGGGGGTCTCAGGCACGCTGAGGGATGTGTCTAAGGGTCCTGGGGATGTCTGGGGGTGCCAGGGATGCTGAGAGATGCACCTGGAGGTCCCGGGGATGTTTGAGGATCCCAGGGACACGGAGGGATGCACCTGGGGTCCCCAAGAGCGCCCGGGGGTGCGGGAGGGTCCCAGCCCCCCATCTCACCCCCCTGGCCCCCGCAGCGCTGCCTGCACCGGATCCTCCAGGCGCTCCAGCACTACCGGGACCTGCTGGGCTCCGACATCTTCCGGGAGCAGCCCCAGCCCCAGCTGGAGACCACGATGGACCAGCTGCTGGGCCTCGTGCAGGTGAGCGGGAGGGCGGGAGCCCCGAGGGAGCCCGTCGGGGGGACACGGCTGTGGCCCCGGGCCCCCTGACACCTCTGTCCCCGCAGCAGGAGCACGGCCACCCCCTCCGGCACCCCCTGGACCCCAGCACGAACTGGTCTCACGGGCTGCTCCGGCACCTGGCCCTGAACCGGCTCCGCTCCTTCGCCGCCGTCATGAGCCGCGTGTTCACCCACAGCGCCCGCTGAGCCCCCCGGGCCCCCCACCCCCCTATTTATTGCCTCCCTCTCGAGGGGTTATTTATGTGCCGCGTCCCCTATTTATCTCGGGTATTTATGGGTTTCTAATAAAGCTCTGGAGGAGACGAGCGGCTCCCGCCTGCGGCGCAACGGGCAGCACGGGCGGGGAGGGGTGGGAAGGGGTTTATTTACAGGGGAGGGGCCAAGGGGGGAGTCACTGGAAGTCGCTGGGGTCGATGTGGAGCGGGGGGAAGTCGGCGGAGGCGAAGAGGGAGTTGACAGCGGGCAGAGCCGAGTCCTCGGGCTGCGGCAGGAACGGGTCACGGTGGTCCAGGAGCACGGAGGCACCTGGGAGGGGAGGGGGGGACGGGTCAGCGCTGAGGGGACACCTCCGGGACCCCCAGGTACAGCCCTCAGAACCCCCGGGATCCCCAGGTGCATCCCTGGGATCCCCAGGCGCATCCCTGAGAATCCCTGGGAACTCCAGACCCCCCTGGGATCCCCGGGTGCCTCCCTCACCCCGGCACTCACCTGCCGGCCCAGGGGCCAGCTGGGGCCTCCCGTCCAAGCTCTCTGCCATGTTTGGCATCAGCTCTGCTGCCTCCAGCGTCTCCAGCGCCCCTGAGCCCGGCTCCAGCGCCTGCAGCAGCTCCTGGATGTCCTGGCTCCTGGGCAGCAGCTCCAGGTCCCTCAGCTCTGGTGGCAGCATCCCCTGGCCCTCAGTGACCTGCAGTGGCTCCACAGCCCCCGGTCTGGGCTGCAGCATCTCCATGTTCCCAGCTCCCACTTGTTGCAGCATCCCCGTGTCCACAGCTCCCACTTGTTGCAGCATCTCCATGTTCCCAGCTCCCACTTGTTGCAGCATCTCTGTGTTCCCAGCTCCCACTTGTTGCAGCATCCCCGTGTCCACAGCCACCGTCCCCTGGTCCCCCGGCAGCACCTGCAGCGTCCCCAAGTCCCCTGGTCCCACCTGCAGCATCCCCACCCCCCCGGGCAGCACCTGTATGGTCCCCACAGCCCTTAGTGCCTCTTGCAGCGTGTCCTGGATGTTGGGGACCACCTGCACCACCACCTCTGAGACCTCTGATCCCACCTGTGGTGGCTGTGGTGGCTCCAGGTGTTGGGACCCCGCCTGCAGCGTCCCCAAGCCCCCGGGCTGCAGCATCCCCGGGCTCGTGGCCACCACCTGCAGCTTCCCTGGGCTCACGGCCACTCCCTGAGGCGTCCCCAGGTTCTCTGGCTTGGCCTGTGGTGCCCCTGGGCTCTGGGACTCTGGCAGTGCCAGGCCACCCTCCCACTGTGTGCCCTGCCCTCCTCCGGGCTGCAGCTGCAGCGTCTCCAGGTTTTCAGTGGCAACCACCAGCTCCTCTTCCGTCTGCCACGACTTGTTTGCCTGCCTGGAGAGGGAGAGACAGCGGGTCAGGGGCAGGGGCAGAGTCAGGGCATCCCCTTCCCTGCGGGGTCTGAGTCACCAAGTCCAGGGCCACGGGGAGATGGGGGACAGGGAAGGGGGACTGAGGCCCCTCCGCTGCCTCACCTGGAGGACACACGGATGAGGCGCCGCCTCAGGTACTTCTCCGGCTCTGTCAGGTTCCCTGGGGGGAGAGAGGAGGGTCAGAGGGGGTGGCAGGTGCTCCCCCTGCCCTGTGCCGTGCCAGGCCGTGCCAGGCCGTGCCGTACCCTCCTGCTGCCGGCTGTAGTAGGGCCCGAAGGCCTTGTCTCGGGGGGTGTCGGGGTACAGGAACTGCAGGGGGTTCTCTGGAACGTTCTCCTCCATCATGATGTGGTACCCACGGATGATGTCGGGCAGTGCCAGGGACGCCAGCTCGGCCCCCGTGTACGGATCCACCGAGTCGAAAGTGGGGGGTCCTGCAGGGCCCCCCCGGGGGTCAGTGCCCGGGGGGGGCTGAGGGGCCGGACCCCGGGGCTGGGGGGGTGCACTCACCGCTCTCGGGATGCTCCACCCAGGTGAAGGTGACCCCCCCCCAGGACGCTCTCGCTGAACCGGATCAGGAACGTCCCCGTCCTCTTCGACTTGAGCAGTTTCCTCTCTTGTTTCCGGCTCACGAAGCCCAGGATGAGTCTGGGGGAGGCACCGTCAGCCCCCGCAGCCCCCGGGGCCCCCCCCCAGCCCCCAGCCCCGCTCCTACCCGTCCTTCCAGAGCGGCTTGAGGTGCTCCTGGAGCAGCCCCAGGATCCCGTCCAGCCAAGCCCAGAAGGAGAAGCCGGCGCCGTCCTGAAGTAGAGGGTGGGTGAGAGGGGCTGGGGGGGTTGGGGGCCACGGGAGGACGGGGGGGATGAGAGGGCAGGGTCATGGGGGGATGGCGACAGGGGCGACGGGCTCTGCTCACCTTGGAGAACTTGGGCCAGGCCACGGTGCTCTCTGGTGATGGCTTCGAGCCTTGGAGGCAAGAGCGGGGTGAGCAGGGGGACGGCACAGCCCCGTCCCCGCAGTGTCCCCCCCGGGGGTCGGGGCCTTACCAAAGAGCTTCTCGGCCAGCATGAGGAGGTGGTCCCGGCTCAGCCCCCTCTCTGCCACGCTCTCAAACTGCCAGCTCAGCACCTCGGCCAGACGGGGCCACGGGGCCGGGGGCGGTGCCGAGAAAATATTTTGGTCCTGCGGGACAGGGGGTGAGCGGGGACAGGGACACGGGGCAGGAACGGGGATGGGAGAGGGGCCAGGGGATGGGGATGTGTGGCAGGGGATGGGGATGTGCACTGGGGCAAGGGAGGGTGTCCAGGAGCTGGGACAGGGACCAAGGGACAGGTACAGGACAGTGATCAGGGGATGGGGGTGGGAGAGGGCACAGGATGGAGATTAGTGAGGAGCAGGGATGGGGACGGGACAAGGACCGGGGCAGGAGGTGGCAGGGGTGGGAGCACTGGGGGGGAGCAGTGCAGGGCTGGGGGGTCCTGCTCGCCTTGGGGTCAGAGCTGAGCATGTTGAACCAGAGGATGGAGGCCCAGGCGCTGGAGAACTGGTTGTTGTTGGAGATGATGACGAAGGGCAGCGTGGAGGTCTGCGGGGGGTGTGGGGGGTCAGGCTGGCAACCCCCAGTCCCCCCAGCATCCCCCAAGCCCTCCAGCCTCCCCAGCCTCCCCCAAAAGCCCCCCAGCCCCCCCCCTAGGCCCACCAAGCCCCCCAGCCCCTCACCTTCAGCTCCAGCTCCAGCCCGCAGTAGGCGTAGGCCAGCATGAAGGTGATGAGGTGCAGCTCCTCTGTCACGACCAGGGGACTCTGTAAGGAGGTGGCACCGTGGTCTCCACGTGGCCCCGGCCCCCCCCTGCGCCCCCACAGCCCCCAGCCCCACACCCACCTGTCCCCACAGCCCCCAGCCCCAAACCCACCTCGCCGGCGCCTTTGCTGCCCTTGCCAGACCTGCTGTCCTTCTGCTCCTTCAGCGTCTGTGGGGCAGCACAGAGTCAGCCCGGGGCGGGGGCCAGGGCTAGGCAGGGGGTCCTCGCCCCACTCTCCGCCCCTGGGGGACCTGGGGGTCTGGGGGGGGGGTAAAACCCTACGAGGTACTGGAAGTCGCAGACCAGCCCCTCCTGGGGACTGTCCCCGGCCAGGAGCGTTTTGCTGCTCGACGTCAGGATGTTGAACTTGCGAAACCTGCGGGGCACAGAAGAGGCGGCGGGTGGGGGGTCCCGGACCCCCGGGCAGGGGGGGAGCACAGCCCCATCCGCCACCTCCGGCACTCGCCCGGCTCTCACCCTTTGAGCTTGGGGGGGTCCCTGCAAGAGAGAGCGGGGTGTCAGTTGGGGAGCAGGGTGTCAGCAGGACAGGGGGGTGTCAGTTGGGGAGCAGGGTGTCAGCGGGGCAGCGGGGTGTCAGTGGGGCAGTGGGACCCCCGGGGGCGGGCGGGGGCTTGGGGGGGGCCCTGGAGGGAGAGGGGGGGGGCAGGGGGCTCGGGGGGTCCCGACCTGTCGATGTGGATGGCGCAGCCCATGCGGTGGTTGCGGTCGTGCAGCCTCACGAGCAGACGGGCGCGGGCCGAGAACTTGCTGCCGGTGCGGAGCACGAGCGGGCGCTTGAAGGGGTTGGGGGTGCTGGGCTGCTGCTCCACCACGAAGGCGCTGGGGCAGAGAGGGGGAGTCAGGGCTGCCCCGGTACCGTCCCGGCCCCACCCGTGCTGCCCCCACCTCTCAGAACCGTGGAATACCCTGAGCTGGCGACAGCCCACAAGGGTCAAAGTCCAGCTCCTGGCCCCGCACAGGACATCCCCAAAATCCCACCGTGCGCTGAGAGAGTTGTCCAAACGCTCCCCAAGCTCTGGCAGCCTCGGTGCCGCGACCGCTGCCCTGGGGAGCCCGTTCAGCGCCCGACCACCCTCTGGGGGAACAACCAGTTCCCAATATCCAACCCTGACACAGCTCCAGCCACTCACATCCCCTCTCCCACCTCTTCAGCAGGTGCGTGAGCTGCTCCTGCAGCCGCTGCTCCAGGAGGGGGGTCTCTGCCACCAGCGGGTCCCTCTCGTAGGTCACCTTCTGCCGCAGGTCGCTGAGCGCCCGGAGCAGCTGCCGCAGCTGGAACAGCCCCTGGCCCAGCCCCGTGAACCTGCGGGTGCCCCGGGGCTCAGCGGGGGCCGGCTGTGATCCCCCCGTGCCCCCCTCTCAGCCCGGCCCTACCAGGTCTCCAGCGGGCGCAGGTTGGTGTCCGTGGGGGCCCCCAGGCACGAGCGCTGCTGCCGCTGCCGCCAGTCCCCCAACTCCTGCTGCAGCAGCTCCCGCAGGGTCTCGCTGCGCCCCAAGAGCTGCTGCATCTGAGCCAGCACCTCCTGGGGGACGGACGTGGGTCTGAGCAGGGGGTGAGGGGCGGCCGTGGCCCCCCCATAAGCCCAGCCCTGCCCCCCCCTCACCCGCCGCTGCTGGTCCAGGTTCTGCAGCTTGGCCTGGAGGGCTTGGAGCTGCCGGGCGTACTGGGGGTCCCTGCTCCTCTCCTGACCTGTGGGCGGGTGGGAGGGCTCGGGGGGGGCTCGGGGGGGGGGGGGGCGGCCCCCGGGGGGGCCCGGGGGTCCGGGGGGGGGGTCTGTTACCTGCAGGGCCGTGTGGAACTCGGCCAAGCGCCGCTGGATCTGCTGCTCCCGGCCCCGCTCCGGGGGCACGGTGGGCGCCGGGGACGACCCCCCCTGCGGAGACACGGGGGGTCAGGGAGCGGCCCCGGGACCCCACAGGGTGAGGGGGGGACACCCCCACCCTACGGAGACATGGGAGGTCAGGCAGCAGCCCCGGGACCCCGCGGAGTGAGGGGGGGGACACCCCCCTGCCCTACCTGCCCCCCCGCCAGCCCCAGGCGCAGGATCCGCTGCTCCTCCTGCAGCAGGTTGGCCACCAGGTTGGCGAATTTCTCCGGATCCTCCTCGAACTCGGCCTGTGGAGGGGCACGGGGGGGGTCAGCGGGGCACAGAGGGCCCCCCCCGGCCCCTCTCCCTCAGCCCCCCCCACCCCCGGCCCCGACACCCACCTGGAGGTCCCGGTGGGCCTTGCGCAGGTTGTGCTTGAGCATGAAATCCTCGTGGCTCGTGCCCAGGCTGCCCATTCGGTCCGACAGGAGCGCCAGCAAGGAGTGGAAGAGCATCCGGGCGTGGGAGGAGAACGGCTCGGCCGCCTGGCGCCTGCGGGCACGGGGGGCTCAGCGCTGGCACTGCCGGTGCCCACCCCCCCGGTGCAGCCCCCCCCAGCCCGGTGCAGCCCCCCGTTACCAGTTCTGGTCCTCGATCCAGGCGGCCAAGCACTGGCGCACGGCCATGGGCAGCTCCGAGCCCGCGTAGAGCTGGTGCACCTGCTCCAGGTACGTGTTGGCCAAGCCCTGCACCTCCTGCCACTGCGCCATGCTGGGGGGGCACAGGGGGGGTCACGGGGGGCCCCGAGGACCCCCCCGGCCATCGCACGACCGGAGGATGTGGGACCGGTGCCCACGTGCCCCCGCCTGGCACAGCCACACCCCACGTACCTGCAGACGGGGGTCCCGGGGGTCCCTCAGCTCCAACTCGGCCCCGGGTGATCCCGGGGGTCCTTCTGCTCCGGGCAAGGGTTGAGCCACGGTGGGTTTCCCGCTTGGGGCGGGGGGCACACACCCCACCCCGACCCCACCCCGAGGGCCCCCTGCACCCCCTGTGCAGCCCCCCGGGCTCCTCCCAAGGTCCCCCTGGCCTGGTCCCCCATTGCACCCGCAGGGATCCCGGGAGTGGGTGCCCCTAAACACCCCTCGCCCCAGGGGGACACCCCCAGGGGGACACTCCCAAGGGGCCACCCGACAGTGATCCCTGTGTGCCCCCGCCGGGACCCCCTGTCTGTGCCCCCCTCCCCCGGGAGCCCCCGTCCCCCGGGACCCTTCGGAGCCGCCCCTGTCCCCCGGGACTCCCCCTCACCCGGGACCCACCGGGACCCTCCGTCCCCCACGACACCCCGGGAACGCCAAGACCGGCTCGAGACCTCCCCGGGACCCCCGGGACCCCCCCGGACCCACCGAGACCCCCCCGATCCCGGACCCACCTCGGCCGCCGGCGGGTCAGGAAGGCGCGGAGGCCACGCCCACTCCTCCGTGATTGGCGGAGGGCGGCGGCAAGACCACGCCCCTTCCCCCGACCTGCACTGTGATTGGTGGAGCGCGACACAGAGGCCACGCCCCCTCTAGCGGAGACTCCCAGGGTTGCCCATTTCCCCGAATTGACGTCACGGGGTGGGCGTGGTCAGAGGGGGCGTGGCCAGCGGGGAACGGTCGGGGGGATGGAAACGGGAGCGGGGACGGGGAATGGGGAGAGAACTGTGGGACAGGGACAGGGAATGGGGACAGAACTGTGGGACAGGGACAGGGAATGGGGACAGGGACAGGCCATGGGGACAGAACTGTGGGACAGGGCATGGGGAGAGAACTGTGGGGACGGGGACAGGCCATGGGGACAGGGAATGGGGACAGGGACAGGCCATGGGGACAGAGCCGCAGGGCCTGGAGCGCTGGGCAGGACAGGGACAGGGACTGGGACAGGGACAGAGCAGCTGCCACCACGTGGCTCAGCAAGGCCACCCCATGAACCAAGGTCCCCGTGCCCCAGCGCAGGGTGACTCCGCATCGATCCCGCAGGGACAGGGACGGGGACACGCCGCCAGCTGCCGCACGTGGCCTTTATTCAGACGATGATGGCGGAGCCGCTGTGGGCCGTGGGCACGGGCGGGGGGTCCCCGGCGGAGGTGAAGTACCCGATGAGCGCCCGAACCCCGGCCTTGAGCCCCGGCTGCAGCCCCATCTGCACCCCCACGGCCACGGGGCCGCCCAGGCTCCCGGTGAGCGCGGCCAGCCCGGCGTAGCCCAGGTCCTCGGTGGCCTCCAGCGCCCGCGCCGAGGCCGCGGCCCCGCAGCCCTGGAAGGCGAAGTAGATGCTGGTGCCCAGGTTGTAGAAGATGCTGACGCCCGGCACCCACTCCAGCACCCGGTGGGCTTCCCGCTCCCCCGGCGGGTTGCAGGCATCCTCGGCTTCGCCCTCATCCTGCCTCCGGCGCCGGGAGAGCCGCTGGCACGGGGGCAGCCGGGCCCCCGCGACCCTCCCCGCCCAGGGTGCCGTGGGCCGGGCGCCGGGGGTCCGGAGCGGGGTGGGATCCACGCAGGCAGAGCCCCCCGGGCGCGCCAGGCTGAGGAGGAGCAGGGACAGGGGCTGGGGGGCCGGGGCTCCCCGCAGCCCCGCCAGCCCCCGCAGCAGCGCCGCGGCCGTGGGGGTGCCCAGCTCCCGCGCCAGCCCCAGCGCCTCGGCCTCGGCCTGGGCCCCGCAGCCGGCCCCGTTCAGAGCCAGCGCCAGCGCGGCGCGGGCCAGGGCGTGGGGCTCGGGGGGCAGCCGGGCAAAGCCGGGCAGGGCGTTGGGGCCCAGGTCGTGGCACGGGACCCCCCGTGCCTGCGGCGGGATGGGACCCGCCAGCTCCGCCAGCAGCGCCCGCAGCAGCACCCGGTCACTGGCATCCACGTCAGAGAGAGCCACAGCGGGGCCGAGGAGGAGGAGTGGGAGGAAGAGCAGGACCCTGGGCATGGCGGCAGCTCCGGGAATGGCTGCGGAGGCGGGAGAAGGGCAGAGCCCCGTCAGCCCCCCGCGGCCGCAGCCCCCCGTGACCCCCCCAGTGTCCCCAGCTCACCGCTGTCACTGGTCCTTGCCCTGGCCAGGTGCCACCGTCCTTTGCCCCGCGCGGCCCCCGCGGCCCCTTTATAGCCACTGTTATCAGGGGGTTGCGACACGCGGGGTGCGGGGACAGGGACCGGGGACGGGACACTCCCTGTGGCCAGAGCGGCTCGACCCCTGCGGCCAGAGCAGCTTGACCCCCCCCCAGCTCCAGCTCCCTCCAGCCCCACACACCAAGGAAGGGCAAGAGTCACGTTTATTTGGGCCCTGTCCGGATTTAAAAGGTTTAAAAGGAAAACAAACCCAAAGAGCTGAGAAAAATGGGAGTTTGGGGCAAAACAGGGAAATGAAGACACCAGGGGAAGGGGATGGGGGGGGCAGCAACTGGCTGCTCGTGCAGCCCTTAAAAACAGGATCAAAACCTGCAGAAACCCCAGAAAACAGCCCAGGGCCTGGGCCTGGCAGACAAGGGAAGCCCCTCAACCCTCCTCCTCCTCCTCGTCCTCCTCCAGGCAGCGGAGGCGCTTCCGCCTCCCCCGGGGCTGGGGGTCCTCGTCCTCCTCATCCTCCTCGGAGCAGGGGGCTGCAGGGGCCAGCCCGGGACCTGTGGGTGGAGGAAGAGGGGAGGGGGCTGAGCCCCCAGCCAGGGGGTGAGGGGAGTGGGGGTTACACCCCTGTCCCTCCACCGCCTCCCCAGCCCCAGGGACGGGGCAAAGGGGCTGGGGACGGGACAACCACGACCCAGCAGTGCCCTGTGCCCAGCTCCTGGTGACACCCAGAGCCCCCTCAGCCCCACAGGAGAGGGCAGAGGGGCTGAACCCACCTGAGCTCCCGCCGTCCTCATCCTCACTGTCGAGCTCCCGGCGCCTCTTGGTGCCCACCGGGCTGGGGACGGGGACAGGGACGGGCTCCTCGCTGCAGCCACGGGGACAGGGGTTGGCACCACTCAGCCCCACACTGGGACAGCACGGGGGGCCCAAATCCCCTCCCCAGGCAGGGGGAGGACCCCCCAAATCAGGAAGAAGAGACCCCCAGCTCGGGGAAGGGATCCTGATCTCACCTCTCCGAGCCTGATCCCAGCTCTGCCGGCAGCTGCTCTGCTGAGGGGCACAGGGAGAGGGGCTCGGGGCCGTCCCCACGGGTGGTGGGGGTCCCACACCCCCAGCCCGGCCCCTCACCCGGACCTGGGTCCTGGGGGGGGGCACTGGGGTGGCTCTGGCAGGTCCCGGGGGGACCCTGAGGGGTCGGGGCCGTGGTGGGCGACGGAGGCGGACGCGCGTCGGAGCTGCTGCGGGGTCAGGGCGGCTGGGATGCGCCAGAAGGATTCCTGGGAAGAGAGGGGGGGACGCTGCAGGGCTGTGCCAGGAGCGAGGGGACAGGGCCAGGGGTGGGCACGGGGCCAGGGGTGGGCACGGGGAGCTCACCTGCTCGCTGGCGGGGGGCCGCAGCCCCAGCTGCCTCAGCAGGCTCTGGAAGCGCCGGTTCTCCATGGCGTCCTCGTTCTCCTCCGTCAGCGGCACCAGCGGCACCGGCTGGGACACGCCTGGGCCCAGAGCACCGTCAGTGGGACCCCCCCGAGCCCACGGTCCCCCCTGACCCCCACCCCGCTCACCATCCTCCTCCTCGTCCCCCCTGACCCTCCCCACTCACCATCCTCCTCGCAGCACCCCCGACCCCCACCCCACTCACCATCCTCCTCCCTGTCCCCCAATCCCCCCGTCACTCACCGTCCTCCTCCCAGCCCCCCCTGACCCTCCCCACTCACCGTCCTCCTCCCTGTCCCCCGCTGCCCTCCTCAGACAGTTCTCCAGCCACCGCAGGGGCCCGGCCAGGCCTGGGGACAGCAGAAGGTGACAAAGGGTCTGGCCCTGGAGCCAAGCCCAACCTGGGGGGGGGGGGACCAAGAGCCCCTCGCCCACCTTCCTGATGCAGACACCGAGCCAGGCCCTGCCCAGCCCCTTCCTCGGGTGCCCAGTTCTCCTCCATGGGGCCTTCCTCCACTTCATCCTCCTCCTCGTCCTCCTCCTCCTCCTCGCTGTCCTCATCCTCTGCTGAGCTGTCCTGGGCTGGCACAGCCGGGGCACCAGTGGCAGCCTGCAGGGACCAGCCGCGTTCGGGTGCCTGGGGTGGGGCAGCACCCGCTGGGCACAGCCCAGGACCCCCCAGATCCCCCTTTTACCGTCCCGGGGCCGTGGCCGTGGCTCTTCCTGCGGCGTTTCTTGTGCAGCTCCTTGCGCTCCGACACCAGCCCCAGCCCCAGCAGCTTCTCCACCACCCGGGCCCGCGAGCGCCGCGCCGTCAGGTGCTTCAGGATGTTCCCCAGGACGTCTGTGGGGCGGGGGGTCAGCGTGGGGGGCTACAGGGGGGCGACCACCCCCTCCCACCCCGGCCCCGCTCACCGTCCGAGCCCTGGAATTCCTCGAAAAGCCGCGTCAGCTCCTCCTCCTGCTCCTGCGTCCACAGCACGATGCGGGTGCCCTTCCTGGGGGGGGGGGACACGGCTGTGGGTCCCTGCCCCGGGGTGAGGGGGGGTCCCTGCCCCGGCCCGGGGGTCCCCCGTGGGCATCCCTGACCCACCTCTCCCGTGGGAAGTCCCTGGCACTGCTGGCCAGGCCCATCCTCACCAGCTGCTTCACCACCTGCCTGCGGGTCCGCCCGGGGGTCGGGAGATGGGCCAGGATGGCAGCGATGACGTCCTCACCTGCGGGGGCAGGAGGTGCAGGGACAGAGCCCCTCCTGCCCCCCGGGGGTCCCACTGCCCCCCTCCCACCCCCGGGTCCTTTGATACCTTCCATCTCCTTGTACTTCCAGTACAGCTCCCGCAGCTCCTGCTCTTCCTGCGGGGTCCAGGGGGGGACCCGGCTCCTGGGAGCCCTGGGCCGAGGCAGAGGGGGGGTGAGGGGAGAGAAGGGGGGTTCAGGGGGGTTACAGCCCCCTCCCCGACCCCACTCACCCCTCTCCCTCCTGCAGGGAGCCGTAGCCCTTGGTCATCTCGCAGGCGGCCGTTGGGTTCTTCCAGAAGAGCAGCTCCACAAAGGCCTTTTTGTTGGTGGCCGCCAGCGCAAAGAACTTGCCCAGGATGAACTTGGCCAAGGCCACCAGCTCCTGGGGGGAGAGCGGGAGGGACAGTGGGACCGGGGGACACAGCAGGGACACAGCAGGGCCAGGGGGGACACGGGGGGCATCGGGGGTCCCGCTGACCTGGTGGGCGCCGGCGGCGGGGTCGCTGAGCAGGCGGTGGAAGAGGGCAAAGAGGGAGAGCTGGAAGAGCAGCGGCTCCATGTGCAGGTCGCGGGCCAGGCGGTGCAGCAGCCGCGCCGCGCAGTGGTTGGTGCGGGGGCTGTTCCGTGGGTACCCCCGGAGCAGCAGCACCAGCGCCCGAACCACGGGGGCACAGGCAAACCTGCCACGGACCCCTGTGAGCGTGGCTGCCCCAGGGAGGGACCCCCCAGCACCACGGGGGCACAGGCAAACCTGCCACGGACCCCTGTGAGCGTGGCCGCCCCAGGGAGGGACCCTCCCTGCGCCCCTGGGGCCGCCCGACCCCTCTCACCGCTTCAGGTAGTCGAGGAAGTTGAATTCCTTCTCTGACACTTGCACCGTCTCCTCCTCCTCTTCTTCGTCCTCCTCTTCCTCGTCCTCCGGCTCCTCGGGCTCGGGGGGTGCGTTCCCTGCGGTGAGACGCGCTGAGGGTCCCCAAAGCTCTCCTCCCTTCTGGCCCAGAGCTCTCCCCCTCCCCGGGGACTCACGGGGCAGGGGAGCGACGAGGATCTCCCGCAGCAGCCGGGTCTCCTCGGGCGGCCCCGCGTCAGCAGCTCCGAACACGTCCCCTTCGGGCCAGACATCCCTGGGGACAGGGAGGGGACAGGCTGGCACCACGTCCCCGCACCCCCGAGGACGAGAGGGGAATGGCGGTGCCGGTACCTGGCAGAGCGGAGCAGCCTCAGGGCCTGGGGCACCCGGGAACGCCGCAGGCAGCCCTGGATCCGCAGCAGAGCCTCCGCCCGCTGCTCCTCCACTGGCGTCTCCGAGGCGGCGTCGAAGGGCACCACGTCCTCGGGCAGGGGCACCTCGCCCTGCGGCGGGGACACCGTCACCCCACGCCCTGCCAGGACCCCCAGAGGCCCCCGCGGGGTCGGACCCTTCCCTGGTACCTCCAGGCAGGCCTGGAGCTGCGGGGCCAATCCTGCCCACAGCTCCTCCAGCTCCTCAGTGCTGGGTGGTGTCGGGCCGAGGGCCGCGGGCGCCCGCGGCTTCTTCTTCCTGCGGATGCGTTTGCTCTGGGGAGGGGGCAAAAACAGGCTCAGGAGGGGCTGCCTGACCCGCCAGGGTCCCCCTGGGTGGGGCAGCCGCGCCCCACCTGCACCACGAGGCTGGCACGGCCGCGGCAGAAGCGCTCCAGCATGCGCAGGAAGAGATGAGCCGTCTCCACCAGGTCCCGCAGGAAGCTGCGCGGCTGCTTCGTCTCGTCGAACTTGCGGAAGAGCGCCAGGAAGAGCTCCCGGTATTCCATCAGGTAGAAGATGTTGCCTGGGGAGGACGGGGCGGGGGGGGTCGGTGGGAAGCGGGGGGGGTCGGACAGCCCCACCCTGGGACGGGCGGAGGGATGGAGGGACTCACTTTTGATGACCTGGCTGCTGTCCCGCACCGCCTGCTCGGGGGACCGGTCCATCTCCTGCACCGTCCGCAGCAGCTCCTGGTACGCCTTCAGGGCCAGGTGCATCCTGGGGACGGCAGCGGGGTGGCCCCAGGTGCCCAGGGAACCCCAGACACTACGGGGGTGGTGTCCCAGATGCCCAGGGGGGGTCCGGGTGCCCAGGGTGCTCACCTGCGGGCCCAGGTGGTTGCCTCCTTCTTGTCCATCAGGGCCATCTCGTAGTACTTGGTGAGGTTCTGCTCGATGAAGTGGAAGGCACGGACACTCACCGTCTCCGACACCAGCTCCGGGCGGAAGCCGCGGCGCCGGTTGAAGGCCATGAAGAAGGCGGTGGCCCACAGGTAATAGGTCTCATCGTGCTGCTGAGCCTTCTCCCTCCCCAGCTGGTCCTGGGGGCGGCGGGGGGGGCGGTCAGAGGGGGTCCCGCAGCCCAGGGAAGGGGGTCCTGGCCCCCCCAGGCCGCTCAC